GCCCACACACACACACTGAGCTCCCTGAATGCCTCCCTGCTCACAGTCTGCACCTCAGATGCTCAGGTGTCATTTGGCCTCCCATGGTTTCCTGTGTCTCCACTCAAGACTGTCAACCCAGTTGCTGCTCTTCACCGTGGTCTCAGTGATCACACCCATGCCTGCCTGCCTCCCAAAGCCGTCGCTCCCACTCCGACCTTCCTCCCCAGCAGTCTGCTCTACCCATCAGGCCCTCAACGGGCTTCTCCACTTCTAGGTACCACGTCCTTAGTCCTTATTCTTCTTGTTAGCTGCCTTCAAGTTGGCTCCTGACTCAGGGTGGCCCCATGCACAACGGAACAAAATGCGGCCCGGTCCTGCACCATCCTGACGACGGGGTTCGGACTGACCGTTGTGATCCGTAGGGTTTTCATGGGCTAATTTTGGGGAGTAGATTGCCAGGCCTTTTCTCCTAGTCTGTCTTCGTCTGGAAGCTCTGCTGAAACCTGTTCAGCATCATAGCAACACTGAAGTCCCCACTGAAAGACGGGCAGTGGCTACACTTGAGGTACATTGGCTGAGAATCGAACCTGGATCTCCCACATGGAAGGTGAGGATTCTACCATTGAACCACCACTGCCCCCCCCTCCTTTGGCCCTTAGGGTTGATTTTAATGATATGCCCGTGCATGTGCGTGCGTGCGTGCGTGCCTGCATGTGCGTGTGTCTGTGTGTGTGTGTGTGTGTGTGTGTGTTCTCTATTGACAGCCTGGTTCAATCTTGAGCACCTGAAGAACTGGGTCCATGCACACGGTAGGTGCAACACACTTGACCCCTACCTCCTTGACACGCCCGGGGCAGTGCCAGGGTGGCAAAACCTTCTCCTCGCCTGGAAAGAAATGAGGAACTGCAGAAAGGGGGAAAGGGGAGGAAAGGGAGGGGACCACGGGTCACCTCCCTGATGACCGCTTTCCCCCACAGGAGACACCCAGGCCTCTCCCACTTCCTTTCCGTTAGCCCACAGGGCTGGCTCCACCCTCTCCCCACCCCCACCCCCACTCCCACACCTTTCCACCCACCCCCAATAAAAAACCTCGAGAAGTCACTCAACTCAACCTGGCTGGTCTGAGTTTCTCCCACAGAGTAGCTGGTAGGTTTGAACCACCGATCTTTTGGTTAGCGGGGGCGGGGGCGAGAGGAGGCACTGGGGGCACCATCTTGGCCCTGAGTGCCTCCCCTCCCCGATCCCGACAGACCCTGCCTGTGCCGTGGTCTCCCATAGCCAGTGAAGCCTCTCAGGGCCATTTATGCTTGGAAGGTCTGTCTCCCCTAGCCCAAACGCCCCAAGGTCTGCATTCCCCGGCTCCCCACCCTCCCACAGGCCTGTCTGTCTGCCCTCAGCAGTATTCACATACTAGTCAAACGAAAGGGGATCACTTTCACCTAATCCCACTTTGTCTAAACATGAAACTCCTGCATCCCTTCTCCCTGCACCCCAAGGTCATTCCGCCATGGCCTTTCCCTCCAGGTTTGCTCATCTCTGGCTTCTCTGCGCAGATCAGTATTTCAGGTCTGTTAGGTCACGGCCGGCCGCTGCCCTCTGCCTGGGGAATGTCCGTGCACCTCCCCCAATAGAGTGGCCTTCCTGCACCGGGGCTGTCATGTAGCAGACGTGGAATGAATGCGTGAACAAATGAATGAATGGGGGCCACGAGTGTACCCACGTGTGCACTGGGTGCAGGGTGGGGGTCATGCACTCTATCACTGCACTATATGTGCGTTGTTGTTGTCGTTGTTGTTAGCTGCCACTAACTTGGTTCCAACTCACAATGACCCCATGTGACAGAGTAAAACTGCTCCATAGGGTTTTCAAGGCTGTACTCTTTAATCTTTATGGGAGCATGTCACCAGGCCTTTCTCCTGTGGAGCTGCTGGGCGGGTTTGAACTGCCACCCTTTCAGTTAGCAGCCGAGCACTCAACCCTTGCACCACCAGGACTCCTATATGTGCGTTACAGCTGTACATTTGTGCATCGCTAGTTACATGGGGGCACACTCTGTGTTCACGGTAGGTGTGCAAACACCCTGGAGCTATGCACGTGTGCAGGAGGTGTGCATGTGTCCCGAGTGTGGGAACATGTGGCAGAACCTCTGTGTGTCAAAGAGCTGCCCTGGTCTGGCCCATGGCACCACAAGCTAAGTCATCGGTTCCTCCTACTCCAGGCCAGCTAGCGCTGCTGCTTCATGAGAATGACAAACCCAGGCTGATACTGGCTCAAAGCGGTTGTGCTGTGGTGAAGATGGGGGTGGAACAGTGCAGGCCGGGCCGCCCGACCCCCCACACAGCAAATTCCAAGTTGGATGCTTCCCAGGAAGAGAGTACCATCAACAATAAGTATGTGGCCCATGGGTCCTAGGGGTGAGCCCCGCAAAGTCCCACTCTGTTGGGGGTGGGGTAGGGAGGGGAAGGTATTGGATGGAATCCTTGGCAGTCCACCCGAAGAGAAAGTTTTGAAATAAAAGGAAGGGGCTAATCCAATCGCTTTCTTCCATCTGTCCGCATGTATAAAGGTCTAAATTCTGGACTTGGCCGGCGCAGGTTCTACTCGCCCAGGATTGTGAGATTGTACCCAGCACCCAAGAATGACGCTGGGGATCTCAGTCTGCCCCAGGCTCTAGCCTGAAGCTAGGATGGGGGTAGGGGGATGTTCAGAGGGGGCAGAGGGCGGAAGTAGCTGTCCTACTCTCCTGGCCAAGGCTAAGAACACCCTCCCCCTCCCCAGCAGAACCTTCCAGGCCAGAAAGCTTCCCCCTCCCCCTTCAGATGTTTGAGGATTTGAAAGTGAGAGGTGGGGAGCTGCTCGTTTGCATGTTCACTCACTCTCCCCTGCAGAGGAGTGACCTCCCCCAGTCCCTCAAAATAACCTCCCTCTCCCAGGAACCTGAAACCCAAGAAGCCACCACCACAGAAGGCCCGCCCCGCTGGAGGCCGGAGGGGCCCACACTAGGGGCTCTCCTCTCTGGTGTCCTTACAAGAACCCTTTGGTTGGGATGCAGCTTCAGTGGTCTAGAGCCCTGGACACTGCCTGGCCGGCCAAGTGGGGAGGCTGGGGGCACACACAGACACTTGGCTCAAGGAATTGAGGTGCCTGGGAGCCCTTAGCAACTGGTGGTGAATCCCCCCCAACCCTGCCCTGGCCCATCACTGCACAACATACAGCTGGCTCCAGTCAAAGTCCGCTCCCAGGGTGGCAAGAGCGCTGCTCCCTTTGGGGCCCTGCAGGGTCCCTGGCTCCCAGGACCTGGCCTACATGGGCTGCAAGTGAAGCCTTTGGGAGAGTACATGGCCCCTGGATGCTGTGTGTCAGCCTGTGTGCCACCAGAGTGAGTGAGTGAGCAAGTGAGGGGGCACCGTGCCTGGGCTGCAAATGCACACCTCTGGCTCTCTGTGGTTCTGACTGCGTTGCAAAACCAAAGCAAAATAGAAGTGGTTTGGGCTGCTTCGGCCTCACCACAGCTGGGCCCCCTTCAGATGCACAGACCCTTTCTGGGGCTGTCACTGGAACACATCAAGCAGTGTCCAGCGCCCACCCAGCTGGGCCTCCCCTACAGGAAACAGCCCCTAGGTGAAAGCTACATCCACAGTCCCTGTGGAGTGAGTTTAAATCCACACCCGTTCCACTGAGCCAATGGCTCTCACAGAATTGCTGGTAACACCCGTGGCATTTCCACACATGCCAAGAAACATGGGGGCCAGACTGTCAGCTGGGACACAAAGCAGAATTCTCCTTCCCTAGTCCCTCGTCCCCTCGGAGGCAGTTCTCACTCCTGAAATACCCTGTCCTCCATGAAACCTTTCTGGAATTCTCTGGAAAGGAAGTGACAATTTCCTTCATGCCATTTCCCACTCCCTCAACACCCCTCCCCCCACAACCACAAGCAAAATGGAAACTACCCCAGGAACAGCTGTACCCTCTACTTAAAAACAGCCCAGCAAATCCTTATGCTGCACCACGTGACCAGTGGCGTGTATTTAAGAGACAGAGGGCCAGAGTCAGAGGTCCAATCTGTAGTCATGGACAGAGTAGACCTAACCCATCCGTGGGACTCAAACTCACGACCTTGGCCCAATTAGGGCTGGACTCTAATCAGCAAGCTCAATCTTCCTCTTTGGGAAGGAAGGGGCCCCCCAGAGAAGGGGCCCCGGCCACAGCTGTTTTGTCAGCTCCTTCTCCTCTATTCCTTTCTTTCCACCACCCCCTCCATTTGACATGAAATCAGGAAGAGGGAGGGAAAAAAATAAAGGTTTTGCAAGCCCTGTTGGTTGGGGTTTCTCTGTGTGTATTTACAAGAAACCCAATTTCCTTTCTTGCTTCTCGGTCACTGCCTGATTCTAGCATAGGGCTTGTCACAACTTGGATGGTGAGGTTGGCCTCGAACTCTTTGCCAACTGCCCCCTACCCTCTTTCTCAGCCTCTAGCCCCGCCTCTACCTTCCCAGGCCCCCACCGGCCCCAGAGGAGGGGTGGTTAGGCTGCAAAGACTGCAGGCAAAGAGATGTTCTCTCTTCTTTCTCCAGGGGACCCATAAGCCCACCCAGAGTGTGCACAGTGGGAGTCCTCTCACAGCTGCATCCCAGCCAGATGTGTGACCCTGGAACAGTCAGCCACCTTTCTGGGCCTTGTTAGCAGGTGCTCACCAGAGGAATGAAGATGGCAGTGGGAAAGCGCTTTAACAATTAAAAAGCCCTCAGCCGGATAAGGAGTTTCAGGTGACCTCCCTGTGAGCCAGGGGGCGGGGCTGGGGACCCCATTAAGCCCCCAAGTCCCCCATTGGCTCCAGAACATAGAGTGGGGCTGGAGAGTTCCAGCTGTTGGCTTGGAAGGGGCTGACTTCTGGACTCCTC